CAGTTACTGCGGTCTGGTTTTCACTGGTCTTTTGTAGTGCTGGAGTCTTTTATGTTTGGTTAGGTGCGATGTGTCCAGTGGGAAATTGCACACTTGCTTTCAGAGCACCATGCATGCAGTTTCAAGATGTGGAGAAATCCAGAACTTGAAAGGCCTCCTTTCTTAAGATTACAATGTAACACTTAGCCTTGTACCCTGTGCTGTAGCCTGACATGCACCTCTCCAGAAATGTAACTACATCTCATGGCAACATAGACAACAACAACTGTGATTGGTTGCATTGCGTTTCAATCTCTCAGTTTTCAGACAAGCACAAATATCCCCCTTGTTCTGCCTCAACTGGTTCACTGGTCATACAGACCATCTTCTTCAACGTCTTCTCTCTTATCTGCATTGCAATAATTTCATTAATAATTAGCTTTAACTCCAACATGACCCGCTCAGTTTCAGCTGCCATTGTTAGTAAGCAACAAAGAAATGTAACACAGTAGCACAGAAACCCCACCGCTAACTAGCGTTTTGGTGGTGTGATTGCAGGGCAACACAGACACACAACCGCACAAGTATAAATGCTCACAACAGTGTAGAACACTGGTGTAGTAGCCTACGGCGTAGGCTCCATGTAGAATCAACACAGAACCATAGATCAAGCTTTATTATCAGAGGATCATCTTGTCTACAAGTCGTGACTCTAAAATATAATGATTTACATTCTGGGGACCATAAAAACACTGAGTCCCCACAGTGTGACTGTTTAAACAGATTTATGTCCCCACAACATGAATTATTCCAGTCCACACACACACACCCAGCAATCAATCAGTGGAACTCTTGCTGTGTAGCCTCACCCAGTGACAGACCCTTTGTAAGAAGCAGATAGATGAATAGATGACTACACCATTAAAAGGCTACATGAAAGTTAATTAGTGATCACTCATGCAGGTGAAATGGCCGCATCCGTATCTCCAGCTCTCTCATCCCCCCCCCACCGTAAGCTGTAATGCTTTACTCAATAAAATATAAATTTCCATTGCAGTCTGTCACATATCACACAAAGAGCTTTGTAATTAATGATTGAACTGTTGATGGAGATAAAACAGGGGCTGCATGGCTGCTGGTGCGGCTCCTGTGATGCCCTATTAGGTATTTTATGCTGCACTTTGAATATTGATGGAGTAGAAAAGCGCCCAGAGCAGAAATTTGTTTGTGGCAGCTCGAAGTCTTGTCCCTGTGATGATGGTCATTAGGAAGCTAGCAGCAGAGCACACAGCAGGGAGGCAGAGAGAGCAGCACAAAGAGCAGAATACAAATGTTTACTGCTTTTTGTACAGTGTCAGTGCCACTTACAGCAGCTTTTTGAAGGCAGATAGTGTAAGTGTGTTTAATGCCACAGCAGTGCAGATTCAACACATTTTTTTGAAATCCTATACCACCTACCTCACCAGTTGAATTGGATCTTTTTTGTGTGTTGGAGAGAATGTGATAGACTCAGGCAACCTGTTTGGGTTTTGTGAGGCAGCGGCACCTCAGAGGCATAAAGGAAATGATGGTTAGGTTTGTTGGTGTTGTTTGAACAGTACATAGCTGCCTGACTCCTTTATGCTCAGAACAACATTATAGACCAAAATAATGATGTTGGTGTTTGATACAGTTTGTTCAACACATCATCGAGCCTCATTTTACAACCTTCCTCCAAACATGGTTTGAATGGAGCTCAGAAATTTCTATTAGTGAGGGGTAGAGGTCAAAAGTAACTAGGTACTTCTACTCAAGTGCTGCACTTAAGTATTGTACCATTTCCTGCTACTTCATATTTCACTACATTTTAGAGGCAAAAAGTACATTTCTTACAGCACAATATTTATTGGATAACTTTAGTCACTAGTGTGTTTTCAAAATCAAATTATTTATAATCATAAGAGTTAATCGATCTCTGGTGGGAAATTCAGAAGCTTCCCAGCAATAATTGAAATTATAAGCATATAAAATAGTTTAATTAACTCCATCCTTATCAGATGAAACATTACAGTGATGAAAACAAGAGCGCATTAATAAGTATAATCAAATAATATGACACTCATCAATGTAAAACACACCATTCTGCATAATGACGACTTTTGGTACTACAAGTATAATTTTAGTGCTAATAGTTTGGTAACATTTTGAATCTAGCATCACTGAAGTTTCACTTTATTGTTGCTATTGCACTTTTTTGTACAGATTTATTGTACTGTACTGTTGCACATTGACTCCAGTCTGGATGCTGCTGTAACCTCAAAAGAAACGCTGCTCTCTTTAGCTGTGCACTGGTGTGATGCAGAATGACACTAAATTCAAACTGAACAGAACTGAATTCAATTGGAATGGAATGAATTTAATGAAAATGAATGTGCTTATATGGAGGGGATGAAATGGATGTTCCACTACAATGCTGGGTTAATGTGGTGTCCAGTTCCATCTCCTGCATATTAGTGTGGAGCGATTATGACATCTTTTCTGGGAGTTAGATTCCCCCGGCTGTTTGCTCTGTGAGAGGTCCTCTACATCTGCTCTGTGTGTGTGTGTGTCTGTGTCAGAGAGGAAGCGAGAGAGAGAGGAAAGAAGGGGTTTCAAATTTCTTTTGTCTTTTTTTTCTCACATCTCCCCCATTCTGCTCATCTCAATCTGTTTCACACCCAACCTCAGTTTTCCTCAAACCTATACACACACATACACACATGTGTTTTCATTCCTCTTGGGGACTTTACAATGACTTACAGTCATTTCCTATAGACTTGTCCAAACCTTATCTATAACCACTATATGCCTAATCCTAACCTCCTTCTATGCTAACCTAATCTTAACCATTTCTTGCCTAACCTTAACCATCTATATATGTGTGTGCATCCTTAACCACCTTAAAGGGTACCCAATCCTAAACTGAACCCTTCACTGAACCAAACTATGACTTACCTACTTTGGATTGGGGGAGCACACTGTTTCAGAAGCCTGGGCGACAAGCGTCAGCTCGTGCCTTGCCTTTGGCCCTCTATCCCAAACCATGTATTTGCCAGATGAAGCCTCCCCGCCATCGGGACAGATTCATCTCCCTAACCCTGACCTCACCTTAACCTTAAACCATGTTGTTAGCCTAAAATTTAGCGAGACTGAGACCCCACAGTGTGACTGTGTTAATAGGTTTCAGTCGCCACAATAAAAGTAACACACACATACAGAAACACACAGAAAAACACCTTGGCAAAGTCACACCAAGAAACTAACAGAGACCCAGGTTGCAAAAGCTTCTTTCTCCTTGTCTTGTTTTTCAGGGTCTTATTACAGCAGAAAGCACCGGTGGAATATTGTGGTGATGTGGGCTAAAAGTTTAATCAAAAGAAAATGGGGCAGCTCAGTGTCACCTGCTTTTATTTGAAAACACACCAATGGCCTCTCCCTGCTTGTCAGGTCCTAGTGTGATGCGCTGAGAGGAAATGATGCAAAAAGAGAAGCAAAGGATGAAGGTGTGACAGAAATGAACTGGCATTTTACACAAGGACAGTCAGAGTGATGTTCTGTCTCAGTGCTGAATAAATCTCTGTGATGCTCTGCTTCGTTCACTGCAGATTACAGGGTGGTACTGGTGGGTTCAGGTCGGGTTCGGACAGAAGTTAAAATTTGTGTTCGGGTCTGGGTCAGGTTCAGACACGCAGGTCAAACTCTTGGCTAGATGGCTGGAGCAATCAAATGTCTGCTTTGTTTAATGATATGAGGAAATTGCCATAGAAACTCATCTGCGTTGGGCTCTGGTTGGGTTTGAACAGAAATGTGCGGCCCAATCCACGCCCTACATTAGGAGGTCAGATACCAACCTACACTACAAATATCTCAATATTCAATCTGAAAAGTTTATACTCATAACTGTGGGTATGAATATTTATACACTGTGTTACTTACGTATGTACACTATTCCTCCGCAATGCAATGAGTAAAGGGAATGGAGGTGATAGGTCGTTCCACAGATATCTCGGTAATTAAATGATTAAATATTGTGAAAATTATTCCAGTCTGTCAAGTTTTATTGGTATTCAGGGTTGACGTCCAACATCACACATACAGCTACATATCAAATCATAATGTTGGTTATTGTGTGCTAACTGAGCTGACCTGAAATGTAGCATGACACAGTGAATTACCCTTTTTATTCTTATCTTCCAAGTTGACTGTTGTTTCTGAAATGTCAAATGTGCTGTAAAGAGACGTGCACTCAAATAAACACACACTGCCGCTGCTCACCATGGTGGTTTGTTCGATTGCACTGCGGTATCAGCTAATAGCCTGGTTAATAGGGTTCCATGCAGTCAGACATACGTTTATATTAACAACATTCCACTAATTGAATCCTCCCATGGAACTAATTAATTTACTGTTGTGCTCTAATCCTATAACATCTTGAGTCACTGAAAGTCATTTCTAAAGCAGTGAGCGTTTCATGAATGGCTGCTTTTGCATTTTAATGCTGAATAAAGAATAAAGGCTTATGGTGAGGAGGATGTGCATGCATGTGTGTTTGAAGGGGTGTGTGGATGTCTTTTTCCAGGATTTTCGAAATCTTCCCTGTGTGAAACTCAGCTGTCAGCAGAACAGTTTAGGACGCAAAATAACGCTCATGCAGGAATGGCTATAAAATCAGTGTACCTTTCATTCAAGCATTTTACAGCACTAATTATATTTTGAATAGATGATATCCTTTGTTATTATAGACTAGGTTTGTTATTTTATATATAAACTATATAAACTCTGACATTCTATAACATTCTGTACTAACAATAACACATCAAGTCTGTATAAATGGTCTCTGTGCTCTTTTGGAATAAAGTTCGTTTCCAAAGAACAAGATGAAGTGTTTTAGTTTTGCTTCATATTTATCGATCTATTTTGATAAACCAACTAATCTGTGCAGCTATAAAGGATTTAATGATGGGAGTATTGATGGCTTGTGCTTCCTCTGTGTGTTCTTGCAGGGGCTGAATGAGATCAGGAAGGTTTCTCAGGTGGGACTTGATGGTGTGCGGAGGACGGACTGGCACGACTATGAGGCAATGAGAAGAGATGCTGCTCGCGTTGGTAGGTTCGAATGCTTTGCTGATGCTCCAGTTTTGTTGAAGTATGTTTGCTGAGGACATGCTTGGTCTCAGCACCAGGCCACACATACACACACAGCACTACAGCTGATCTCTTTTTTTATCCTCTCTTAATTCCCCCTGAATGGATTTCTCTCTCTGCAGCAGCATACAAATCAATGAGTGAGTACAGTTCTGAGTACATTATTAAACAGTTAATCTTCTACGGTAAACATTGATTCAGCCTCCGGCCTCTATGGGACACACACCTTTACCTTTTTATTACAACTATAACAGATTTAACTGGCTTGTATACAGTATATTATCAGAAGTGCAAATGAGCTGGATTTGTGAGTGGCTAGTGGAGTGGGAGTGGTTTGAGACACTGATCCCAGTGTTCATGAGCAAAACAGGATCCATGACTGTTACATGAATGTCACATGTCCATGATCTCATCATAACATTTTTTACATTTGTCATGACTGTGATTATAGTGTCTGTTTCTTCCGCGATGACAGAAATGTGCACTGTATATACTGCAAAACTGCTGGAGAATGTGTCGTGATAAAAGAAGAATAACACTAAGAATGCAAGATAACAAATGGGTGCATCAGACCCATGAGACCTATGAATACCTGGTTTTAATCCTAAAAATTCTGAAACTATGAAAAATAATCTTATTAGCAACTTTTCCAAATATTTCTTTGGGTTTATAATTGATGAAAATGGTTGAAGTGATTTTGCAGGGAAAATGCCATGTTTAGTAGAAGAGTTTGTGTCTGAAATGAGGCATTAAAGTGGGGCGTTATTTTCTACAGTTATTACCTTCAGGAATATAGACAGATCATTTCTGCCTTAATGGAACAAGGCAGCTCACTTTAATGCAATCCTCTTCTCTGATTATACATCAGCCTCCATGCATGCTCTGTGTGTGTTTATGTGGACTGCACTGATGAGTGGCTAATGAAACATGCAGCACAGTGTAATTTGATGCAGTCCGCAAATGAGCTCAGGCTTTATAATGTTTGTGGGTGGAAAATGGTTGTTAGAGAGTGATTAGTGAGACACTTGTGTGTCCTTTTCATACACCTGAGCTAAGCGCTAAACATATTAGCACTACACGGAGTCCTTTTTGTTTCACTGACCTATATATGTGTGTGTGTGTGTGTGTGTGTGTGTCTGTGTGTGTGTGTGTGTGTGTGTGTGTCTGTGTGTGTGTGTGTGTGTGTGTGTGTTTTGATGTAGGTAATGGCGAACAGGGGAAACCGTTCCCCCTGACAGAAACTGACCGGGTCGACCAGGCCTACAGGGAGAACGGCTTCAACATTTACATCAGCGACCGAATCTCCCTCAACCGCTCCCTCCCTGACATCCGCCATTCAAAGTGAGTCCTGTATGTGTGTTCCGGTGCATCAGTAGAAGTGCTCTCTATTCAAAAACAAACACTGTGACCTTACTCAAAAAGTGTGGTAGACTTTATTCAAGTCCATGGATTCCACCGGTGTACTCATCTCCATGGGAACAGTAGGTCATGAAGAGGATGTTTGGTGCAGTGTTTGTCAAGCATTACTACTGGGGCTCAGCTGCATCAAGAGATAGTGGAAAGCACCTTCAAAATCTCTTTTTCAAAGTTTCTGAATTCCTCTATAAAGAAGCCAAACCTGTCTAGACTCCACTGAACTGTGTGCTCTCTTTCAGTCCCAGAATGGCACTGTCAAAGGCCTTTAATCACAGCTTTTCTTTTGCCTGACAAGAACTTTCCTCTGACACTTGACCCTTCCTCCCCTTTCATGTGGAAAGCAGCTATGAATGCTTCCTCCCTGCCAGTTCCCCCAGGAGGACTGGTTCTTTTTATCTGTGTTTGTACAAGTAGGCTTTCCTTAACCTTACACATATCCCTCCGTGAGTCGTCTGTGCTGACAGGTGCAGGGCAATGCAGCATCTCTAAACATTGATCCATAAATAGCTAGGTTATACTTGAAAAGCTGCCTCATGCATGAAAAAACTCAGAAGCCTATTTCGGCAAGTCTAAGTATTCATTAGCAGATTGCAAGTCAAGAGTCAGGACTGCCACGTCTCTACATGCTGATCACTGAAGTTCTTCCAAAGCTATTTATTACTGTTATTTGTATTATTTATTATTGAAACAAAGTTCTTGAAGTTCAGAGGCTTAATTTTCAGGGTGTGTAGCATTGGTGTAGCAATGAATGGATTTTGATGTAACTGCTTGGAGAGGTAGGGTACAGCCCACAGAACAACGCATTACATTTTGCTGTTGACCCGAATTGTCACCTGGATCAAGGAAGTTTTTAAAAGCTTCTTTTCTATTGTAAAACAAGGCCAATTTCAATATTTTGGATTCTAACTCCACACATAGTGCCTCCAATGCTTGAACAGAAACTGCATGATAACATCCACATAAGATCTGCCAGACAGCAAAGTCTGATTCGGTCCTAAGTAATATTCCACATCTGTTCATCCAGAATGTTCACATTTACTGGGATCACAGAAAACTGGCTACTGATTCAGTGCAGTGTCAACAGATTTGATGTATCTTCAGAAGTTACTGAGCCAGATCCTGAAGAAAACCACCATTAATAAAATATCACTTTTCCTGAACAACTTTCAAACTAGTAATGAAATCGGTGAGATTCCAAATGCCTGGGGAAGGTCTACATGGTCATGAAATCATATTATGATGGTCAAACTATCATGGGAACTATGCTTTTTGGTAGAGTGGCATTATGGAGAAATTGAGCTGTCATGGTGGAGGTTTCATGGATGACTGGAGCCTTCCCCAGCTCAAAAACATGGCTATACACAGAACTAACACATTAGACAAACTATTCACACTGACTACTGTCCAGTGTCGAGTCCCTACGACAGCTGGTCTGCATGTCTTTAGACAACAGCTCCATACATGACTGTTTTTCTCCCTTTTTATTTTAATACAAGAAAACATTACATCTCAAAAGATCAACTTGAAACTGTGTTTAAGTAAATTACAGAAAAAGTCATAATGACCAAACTAACTAAATAAAAAAAGGAACTTGACATATGTGAACAAGCCAAAAACAAAATGAATAAATAAATCAAAGATACAATCAGGCCTACAGGGAGAATGGTATTTGTATATTAATACAAACACCCACATAATAGGAGGAAACCACAATTTTTCTCTTGTATTTCTTCTTCTTTATTGAGTAAAACTAAACATAATTAAATTGTTAATAGAATTATAAACTTCTTGGCTTCTGTTTAATATATAACCAAAACTACAATTTGACTCTAACCTGCTCAGAACAGCTACAGCATAAAATTGTGCTGTTACATGCAGATATTGAAGGGAAGACAGACTGAGTGGTCACTGAATATAGTTATTCTGATTGCAAGCAACCGTCCAAATCACAGAAACATAATTTTTTGTGGCATCCATATTAGCATATTTTCTGATCTCGTGCCCCTATTACATGGACGTCATCTTTCAAAATAACTTACATGAATGAGGACTCTGCTTGTTTTCTTCTCTGCCGCTGCTGTGTTTGAAGCGCGGTCAGGTGGAGGACAGACAGGCAGCTGCTCAAGTGTTTACATGGCAGCTGCTAGAACCAGAATCTTGCCTTAAAGTGTTTGTAATTGAATTATTAGCATGTAAATGTGTTGAATGAATGAAAGCTGTTGAGGACTGATGTTGCCCTCTGGCTGCCAGACATTCATCACTTTCCTGTGACCAGTCAGACAGACACACCTGCTCCACCCATCAGCCGGTTGCTGCCCCAGCTTCATGCTGTCTGTTTCGTAGGCAACGTCTGCCACTTGGTGATTTTATGTTGTCGGTGCCTCCGAGGCAACCGGTCCCGGGCCTAAGACTGACACATTTGATTTCTGCACACTGGTGATATTTAATTGCAGCACACTCTCCCTCGTGCACACATACACATCCCCTGTGGAATTGGACAGGGTTTGTTACGCTTCACCGACTGGCTGCTGTCGACCACTCTGCCTGCCTGTCTGCCTGCTTTCATATTTGAATGACTAACACGCAGGCTGATGTTCAACACAGACACTGATCGACTGACAGAGTTCCCCACGCGCTTCCTCTCTCTCTCCACCAGCGAAGGAACATGACTCTCTTCTCATGATTAGCCCCTCTGCAGGGGTCCCACCACGTGCTGTGACGATTGTGTACAAGGTCATCAGTGTACTGTGCCCCATCATCAGAGCACATGTTGGTGGCTGATAACAGCTGTGGTGCTGCAAATCATAAAATCTGAGGTGCCTCTGATACAGGAGGGCATCGCTGCAGAGCCTGCTGCACTGAGCTCGATTCAGAAGTGGCCTGTCTGACGTTCTGTGCATTCAAAAACATCAAACTATTGTAGAACTGAATTCATAATGTCACATACTTCACCTAAGACTAATCTGCAACACCATTTGTTAATCTGCAGAAAAATATTCATTTATATTTTGCCTTTTTATTGCAAATATTGATTGAAACAGATTTTTCATGTTTCAGCTTGCATTTTTTTAGTCAGAACAATATAATAAAATCCAATTATCCATCAGAGGCAGTGACCTCAGTTCAAATATAGGTGATGACCGCTTTATCTGGCCAAGTATGTTATACACAAAAGGAATTTGTTTCAGGTACAGAATTGTAGCAGCCATCTGTGGTGCTAACTTGCACACACACCGATGGCAGTGTTGTCCCTGCATGGCTTTGCTCTGGTCATCAGGGGCAACTTGGAGTGTCTTGCCCAAGGACACTCAACATGTGGACTGCAGGCACGGTGAATCAAACCTGCTTCCAGCTGAAGACTTGTAACCACTGTCCAACAGGAAGCTCATGTTGCTGCTGAGCAAAATATAAAAAAGCATTTTAATTATTTTTCAAGATCATCTGAGAGGTTTTTTTGTCCATATGCCAGGAAACAATCTGCATATATGTGTATATATGGGACACAGTGGAGTCCTCAAACTAGTTTTATTTTCTATCCTTTTTTCCCTCTCTGAGAGGTGAGCAAATACAATTTTCACTGTAGCAGCAAATAATAGAAAATGGATTGAATAGTGGTTTCAGCGAAGATTGTACCTAGATTAGAAGAAGCTGAGTAGAACTGCAGTCTACCAGCTTGCTCAAATGCATCCATTTGAGCACTGAATCCATGGGTCACCTCGGTGACCTGAGCTCTGCTGAGGAGGCAGCTGTGTAACTAGAAAAAAGGGCTGCTGGAGGAAGGATGTGAATGTAATGCTCTCCTTCTTCCTTCAACAAAGTGGCAAAAGAAATACAAGGAAAGAATTGTAAAATGGCCAGCATACGAATAAGTGCTACATTTACTTTTTATTTGTGTAGCTGTAAACAGAGGCTGTATGCAGAGAAGCTGCCCAACACCAGCATCATCATCCCATTCCACAACGAGGGCTGGTCGTCGCTGCTGAGGACTGTGCACAGTGTGCTCAACCGCTCTCCCCCGCAGCTCATCGCAGAACTCATCCTGGTGGACGACTTCAGCGACAAAGGTACAGAGGACACATGCTCATTACCGATCGGGACACAGCTGCACAGATAACACACCTCCTCAGAGATTAACACATTTATCTAACATGTTTGTTTTTTCTCAAACATATGGCATAAAACTTGCAAATGTAAATATCAAATGTAAAAATGTATGATGTAAAAATGCAGGTTTCACAAGTCACCAGTTCAGATGTTAAAAGTCCAGCCCATCTGTTACAACCTGCCTTGGGAGAATGAATGTAAAATGCTATGCCAACTTCCCCAGTTCATGCACCACTGCTACCAGTAGCATTGAAATGATGGAAGTGAGATTCACATCGAATGTGCTCAGCTTGACTTTTTTAGATTCTTTATAAAAACATCTGTTTGTTTTCCTGGAACATGCGAGGCATCTGCACACAGAAGCTGCTGGTTTAGCAGCATGTCTCTGCCATAACCAATCATGTAATGATGGCTGTGCAATTTCCACAAGGGTGATAAAAATATAATCGGATCTTACAAAACAAAAGGAGTACCTACTAATTTCTTTCTTACTCTCCCTGCACCAGATCTTTTAAGAACGTGTGTAATTCCTCATTTAATTGGTACTCTTTGTAATGGTGGCTCATTGACGGATGTGTTTACCTCACATCTCTGTGGTAATGAGATGTTCCACTGCCTGAGACTCATTTAGAGGTTACCACCCATCAGAGCTCAGAGATGAGACCTTGCCCTCCTGTACCGGTTCCTTTTAGATCAGAGCAGGTAAAGAAATACTTTAAAATAAAGCTAAACCCAGGCTTTGGTTTACTCTCACCTAATGTTTTTCACTCAACTGATTAAGCAGCAGGTACAGACAAGTTCCATGTTTAACCTTTTACTCTCTTCCATCACCATTTCCTGTCCTTGGTGTTGATTAGATGCTCAAACCATTTCTTTGTATTAAGTTGTAAAATGACTGTTGCACTGCATTTGGTGCAATGAGGATTGGAATGGAGCATTTATAAACCACCAAAGCTTCATTTTTTTCCACAAACATTTTCCATATAATTACCCCCTGCTGTCAAATAACAGTGAGAACATCAGAGGACGGCATCTTCATATTCTTTTTCTTCTATTAATTTGAACCATGTGGCAGATTTTGTAGAAGAAACAGTCAAATCTTTCAGTACTTCTCTGTGTTTTCACTTTTGTTTTTTCATTTTCTTCAATTAGAGGTTTCAGCTAAGGGCCATACCATTCAGCCTCTGCCTCTCTCCCCCTCACTCTGCTGCCACGTCTGACCAGCAGGCAGCTGTGATTTACAGCCAGCACCGGAGCGTGACACTGAGCTACACAGTGAGCAAGTGTTGCTATCAGAGCTGACAGCAGCTCTTTCATATCTCCTTGTTTCAACTCTTCTCTTCCCTCGTTTCTTTCCACTGAGCCATTAGAAACTGTGAGAAAACTGAATTTAAACCCCCATGCGTAAAACGTTTCCCTGAATAGACCAGTCACAGATTAGACATCACCGTACAATGGAAAAAGGAATCCACTAATTTTATGTCTAAATCCCTTTATGTCCTGCAAGACACAGTTAGCACGGTGCAGCTCTTTGTTGGTGAAATAAAACTTCTTGATGATATTGGATGAATGTTGAAACTGAATTGGATGAAATACAGCAATACAGACGAATGTATTTGTTCTTTTTCGTTCATGCGCTCTGCAAACCTTCACATGGGCATATGTCTGAGATAAAATATACACTGAACACAACTTTAATCATTAGATTAGATTAGATTCAACTTTATTGTCATTACATTAATAAGTAGGTTTAGCTGAGATGCGCTTGTGGTAACAATGTCGAGACTTTCCACCAAGCTGCGTCATGATTCATCACATGTTTTTGCCGTCTGCGTAAAGTTGTAATAAAACAATCGACTTGAGACAGAAAAATGTGTGCTGCTTTACACTCAGCGATATTGTGTCGTTGATGTGCAAGGGTTCATTGGCAGAATATTGGTTCGAAAATTACTGGCATTTAAAAAAAGAAAACGTACAAAAAAAAATTAACTTTGCTAAAGAGAGTAGAGTGACTCCCACACAGCTCCCTCTCTGCTGCGTAAATATGGTCACACCGATTCGGTGTGTCTAGTAGGGTGGCTTAGCATTTGTGGCTGTGGATGAGTAGCAAATAATGCGGGTGGAGGCCAAGTCATTACACAGATTTGTGGACAGACGGGGAAAGTAGCTGCAACTTGTCAGTTAGAAACAGAAAAGAACAGGAAACTGCCTTTCTCTTCTCCATATCAAGGAAGTACAGAGTGTATTGGGGGTGTGGAGAGGAGACACCTGCTGTAGCCTCCTGTTCCATCATATCAGTGTTTCCTCAGATCAGAGCAAAAGTAAAAAAGGGGCTTTTGCACTCAAACACATCTCAGAATTCTGTCTTTTTTTTTTGTTAAATGACATGGGTGATTCAGCATGATAGTTTGAACAAACACCCCCAGACTTTCCTACCTACCCCGTGTAACCAGTGCAAGTGGTACTAATAACACTGATTAGTGCTGGCTGATGCCAATTAAGGACACATCTAACTAAAACTGAAAAACTTAAACCGTACAGGGGAACAACAAGGAAAATCATACAAAAATTACAAACATACCTAATGATACATTTACACTGACAAACACATATAAATTAAATCAAAAACACATCTGAACAGCAGTGTCAAGCAGTCCTACACAGTCTAGATGATGAGAGGCTTCATGAAAAAGGTAAGAGGATCACACTATTTCAGCTGTCTTTCAGGAAACAAAAACCTATTTCAGCTATAAAATCACTTTGTGTTAGGTTTTTTCAAAGCATTGCCCCGTGTGGAGTTTGCATGTTCTCCCCATGCTTGTGTGGGTTCTCTCCGGGTGCTCCAGCTTCCTCCCACAGTCCAAAGACATGCAGCATAGGTTGATTGGTGTCTCTGAATTGCCCATAGGAGTGATTTTGTGTGTGTGTGTGTGTGTGTGTGTGAGTGGTTGTTTGTCTGTGTGTTAGCCCTGCGATGGACTGGTGACCTGTCCGGGGTGTACCCTGCCTCTCGCCCACAGCTGGCTGGGATTGGCTCCGTGACCCCGTTTGGGACTAAGCGATATAGAAAATTGATGGATGGATGTTATGGTTGTTATGTTATGTTGGTGTATGCACAAGTTAATCCTGCAGTTCTGACTACAGAACTGCAAACTGCACAGTTCCGATAGGGGTAATGCCCTGGAGTAAATACTTCTGATTGTTTGAACCTCTGCCTTCATAAGACTGTCTTTCAAGTTTCAGGTTCTTCTGAGATGAGCAAAGATGTATCAGTTTGGAGATTGTATCAATGTCTGAAACAATAGACTAAAAAACAGATGCACAGGGGGTATACTGTATGTAATGATGAGGATGATGGAAGGTTTCAGATTGAGACCCATTTCAAGAGGAAAAATTAACCAGAACTACACAACTTTTGGTGCAGCTTCAAGCTTATACATAAAGAGACATGTCTGTGGAGGGGAGCAGTAAAAACAACATTAACTATATTGTCTTCTAAACATATTAAAAAGAGCAAGTTGAGAAAGGCAGGCACAGCTGTGGGGAGAGTTTCCAGTCACACTTCCTGAGTGAGGAACCAGCTAGTCTGACTGACACACAAACAGCTCCGGTATTGTAGTTTAGGGCTAAAAGCTTTGTTCAGAAATCTGACAGAAGTTAATGGTGCAGGGAACGGCTTTATTCATTTCCCTTGGCTGTGTCATGGTGGGTTTCAAAGGGGTGAACCGAGTTTCCAAGTACTTGGCTTGTTATTTTGCTAAATCTAGTCACGGCTGTTCTTTTAAAACTATGGAGTAATATTTATAGTCAGAAAGTCACACTGCAGTAAGTATCTGTGCTAATGGGGGTGACAAGTACTTCAATACAAAACAATGATTCACTGCTTCTTTTTTCTTTATTCATCCATAATTTATAATCGATACCCAGGGATCATCCTGGTTTGTTCTGGTCTGCTGCGGACTTCTCTGTGCATGTGACTGAGAGGACTTGTGGTGTGTTGGTGTGCTGTATGACCTTCTACCTTCTGTGAGTTTGTCTTCTGTACTTCTGGACACTGGTGTTTCTCCAAACTTTAACGGAGAGGGAACAGTGGACTGCACACACACACACCCACCCACCCACCCAAATGGAGACATACCACATATGGACGGGGGGGGGGGGAGCACGGGGCGCACACGGAGAACATTAGTTATAGGGCCAATTGGCGAGTTCTTCTGGGAGGAACCCAGATTTGTACAACCCCAAATCAGAAAAAAATTAGATGGTATGTGAAATCCAAATTAAAGCGTTTACACGGTGTGATGCTGCCGTTCCTTTTCACAACACTTAAACGTTTAGGGACTGAGGACATCAAGTCCTGCAGCTGAAACATGGTGCCCACCGAGGCAAACATGTTTGCGCATTCCACTCTCGAATGATGGCTTTTACCTCTTTTTCTTCTTTTTTTTTTATTATTATTTTTTTTCTGCAGTGCACAAATGTCATGCACTGCTAACATACTGTAATGACCCCCGGCGTGGAGGAGAGAGACTACCTATACTTGAGCAGCTAAACTAGCTAGCAGGGCGCTAGCACCTATGCTGTTCGATTAGTGCCTACTCCAGGTCCCATACACCGCACGACTCTGGGTAGCACTTAGCAACTATTCCAGGCCCCATACACCGCACGACTCTGGATAGCGCTTGGGCGTGTCCTTCACAATGACTACCATGCAACTCTGTCTTTCTCGTCATTTATTTAGAACACAGAACCGAACTCACACATCACATTCCCAACAGGGTCAGTTTTACACATACAGCTTAGACTTACGGTTCAGAAACACAGCACCCAACCAGCTAGCAAAACATTGTTAACACATA